GTTTCTCCGATGTTTAAAGATTCTCGTAAGATAGTTTTCAGCAGAGTAGAGTGTTGGTTCTGCTATGTTCAGTTTCTTTACTGTTTTTCAAGCTGTAATACTAAGCAAGTAAGCATTGTATTCCAGCTTGACGCAGTCAAGAAGGGTAGAGTCATTTATGCCTTAAGAGTACAAGTAGCTATAGACTAGTTGCAGACTGCTAAGTCTTGGCGCTCTGCAAGTTACTCTCTTTGAATATAAAGAGGAGTTATATAAGGATATTTTTAGGGAATACTAAACTGTGTTCGTCTTCTAGGAGATGCTATCTTTGCTGTATGACAGCTGAAATAGTGATCCTGTATGTTGCCTGTCCTATGTATTTATGTGCATCTCCACATGCATCTTCATAAACCTAAAGTGATAATTACCAATGGAGATACTCTTTAATGGGGAATGTGTCACGCCTTAGCTCATTAGCAGCAGACCACGAAGTGACCGCTTTCTCTATCATTCGTTTGCCATCCTTTCTGCTGGTTCAAGGTTAGCCCGCCTAGTAGCTCCTTAGACACGACTTGCTCCTTCCTTCTCGATCTGTTCTCTGCTTCCTTGCCCCCTGAGATTTGATACAGGCCGATCCGCGGGACTTTTCAATGTGATGATGGACCATATTCGATATGTGCGTTTCAGGTTTTGATTCCTGAACCTCCCCTTTCGCACTGAAAAATTTGCAGCTACTTATCAACAGTTCTATGCTCAATGATTTGCCAAAGAAGTACATGACATGTTGGCACGAAAATTAGGAGGGAGGACTGCTGAAAAACCTGCTTTGAGAGGCACCACAACAAGATGAGCTATTTCAGTTCGTGCAAAGTGGCTATAGAGGCTAATTTCGAGCGATTTAAGTTCTTCTTAGTGGGTCATCTCCATGGAACATAAGTTGAAGGCACCAAAGCTAAGGGAGAGGATTTTAACACCAAACTGATGTATCATATATTTACTAATCTTTCGACAAGTCTGTTTCAATGTTGTAGCTTCTAAGAGTGATGTGAAGCTCGAATTGACCAAGAATGTGAGGCAGTTTTAGCAGTTCAAACCTCTGATTACACTGGAGTCGAAGATTCAGTATGTTTTGTTACTTGTTAGGAGGCGACAAGTGGTTGTTGGGTCTTCTTTGACATTGTATGATGAACATAAGAAATCAACAAAGTTGTAGAACATGAGTTTGTATTGATAATATGATGTCCTTAGCTTTAAGATCTGTTATGCAGGAACTATATTTCGTGATTGATCAACTGCCAGTACAATTGTACAAATTGATGATATAGAAGAATAGTAGATAGTATCTGTGCTTTGATAAGTTAAGGAGATGCGGAGCGGAACATTTCATGTATATGTACAAGACATTTCATAAGATTCGTCATCCTGTAAAGTTTTCTATGTTAAGTCTCATTCTTATCATTATATTGTCTTCTTCACCTTTTCAGCTACTGGTTGTGAAACTAATGTTGTTACATGTGTGGTTTTGTTTGGGGCACACTCATTGTAGTGTCATTTTCTATGAAATCGTTTTTCATAAACTGTAACTGTACTAGTTCAGTTTTGTTAACTAACACTCGGTCTCATTATTAGTTTCCGATACTTGGAAATTCTCTCACTTTAAGGGTTCTATGCCATAGAGAATATCATCTCAGGCAAATTAGTCTGGTGCCTAAGATGTACAAAACTTTATAGGCGTTATTCAATTTTTTTTTTTTTTGTAGGATGTCTCAATCTATTTTTTAAAAAAGGCGATAATATAAAAAGACTGATCAGTTGATGTGTGTTCATTTATCCAGCATGTTCAGGTGTACTATGTCAAATTTATTGTTACCTGTTTGGTTCCACTGCAGAGGCCAAAACCATGTCGACATGCAAAACGGCTTCATTTCTTAGTAGTTGCAAAGTTTCTGGCAACTCTGTCTCTTACCTATTTTTCTCTTCCTGTTGCATATATTCTTTAAAAGATCCTTTGAAACTTTCTGGGATTTGTCAGGGCATAAACAACATTGTGTGTGAGGTGGTTTCCATTCTGGCAATAATCGCGTTAGGCGTGATTTCTAAAAGCATAAACATCAAACATTTGGATAATTGAGCTGAAAAGAAAAACTAAAAAGGCAATAACAGTTACTTGCTAGTAACTTGAAGGCCAAAGGTTTATTTGTGGGAACGCATCTGCTTTTTTTCTTGCAAGGACTTGTAATGTATAACCTTATAGCAAGAATTCAGAAAAGAAACAAAAAAAAAAATTATTCAGATAAGAACAGCTGTTTGAAGATAGTGATGAATTAATATGGACAAGTCACATTGACAAGCAAGGTTCTTATTTTGAGTATAGACAATGAAATGGCTAGATGCTTAATCTTGGGTCCAGTTGAGGCCAACAACAAGCATATATGTGGTTAAAATGTAGTCCATAAGAAGTTTTTTTTTCATGTCCTTTCATAATCATAATATGGACACATTTATATTTCTTGTTAGCCCCAGAAAGAACACTCATCATTCTCTTTTGTAGGATATTCTGGACAAATGCGACATGCGCGAAGAGATTAATAAGCTAAGTTCATCCAGATTTTGATTAGGTTGTTCATTCTTGGTTAATGGCTTGGTACCTATAGAAAGCATTTTCCTGCGAAGACTTGAATACTTGATTTGAGAGACAAACTGAAAGGCTGTAAAGAACGACCATAACAGAAATGTTATGTCCTTGAGACCTTGAGTGACCTGACCTGCAGTTTCACTCCTCTAGTCTTACCATTATTGTGAGGTTTCTAATAGATGCCATTTGCCAATATGAATAGTAGAGAAACTTTGGCTAAGCATTATCCTAAACCTCAAGGGTCCCCTGTTCAGCCTATCACGACACGCCCTAAACCTCAAGGGTCCCCTGTTCAGCCTATCACGACACGGGGAGTTTATTGTGGAGCCTGTAGTAGCTGAAGTCACAAAATGGACTGATGGAAAACTCCCCACAGGCCACAGCACTTAGGGGGATTGATGTAACCCTCCCACTCTAATACATTTATTCCTGATGAGTTGTATTTCTTTAATTTGGGATTTGTTTTTATTTGTGGTGGTCGTCCACCATCTTTTTTTAGCTAAAACCATATTTCATGATGTCGCTGGTGTATATAATAACCGTATAGTTTTTTTAT